TACAGAGGACCGGTTGAGAGTGGGTGATATAGATCTCCTGCGTCTACGCCCTCTGTGGTTTGTGTCTTCATCATCTCCTCCCGCTTCTTCTTCGCTACCAGACCTCGTCTCCTCCGTCGCCTGCGAGACTTCACCATCTGTGCTCATTCTCCGACTAGTACGTCCAACTGACTCCTCACTCTTCATCCGGCCCCTGGACCACTCCCTGCTTCGTCGTCTATCTGCCAATCCATGCTCTGCATAGGACATCCTCGATATGCTAGTAGGTATAGTTTCTTGTCCTGGCCCGTCAAACATGGCGCCTTGTCCACTGTCTCCGCTATATGAGGAATGGCGCCGTGCATTGGCAACAGCAGCCTTAATGTCGATGGCTGACGCGCCCTCCGTATAGTCGTATGGCTCACTGGGACCGGCTAAGGCCACCATCACAAAAAGTACCAGAACTTCTCGAGACAAGTTTGCTCTGACCTCGTTCGGTTTGCATTCTGGGAAGCGGCGTCAGTCCGGCAAGTGCCGCAACTCCTGACACGACAGCGTGAATATTGCTGGACAAAACTAGACGAAGAGTACGTATGCAGGCGATGTATACAAGTCCAGCAGACAAACTATTTAGGCTGAGTTAGCCTAGGTAATGCCATATCAACCAGAAACAGAAAAACGTGAACACTCCTCCGCCAAAGAAGACATACATATCCTGCGTGCTACAAAACTTCAGTACCTCGATCTAGAGTTAAGAATGTTCTACTTACCTTCTTCTTTCGATCCACCCTATAACGTCCCGACTGAGACCCATTGTATTTGCTGCATCCAAGAGTCGTCTCTGCGTCCCCTTAAGAACATTCCGTTGATCCACCAGATTGTCCAGCACTTCCCGTCCTTGCGCAAGGAACTCATCCAACCTTGTCTCCGTATTCTGGATAAACGAGTGCTCGTGTAATGCATGACTTTCACGAAGTGTTGAGCCCGATATTGGTGTTTGCGTCCGGAAAGGTGACTCGGAGTGTTGTGACGGGGACACTCCGCCATTCAAGGCAGTAGCAGTTGGTGTAAACCGTCGTCTTGTGTCAGACGAAGGAGATATCATGTTTGAAGTACCACCTAGAAGTTCGCTTCGCTGTGCCGCAGCTTTCTGCACTTGCATATGAGACTTACATTCTGAATGCAAGATAATTGGACATGCCTCGGTTTTAATTAATTCAAACTGACTCTTCAGTTCTGCATAGTCGGAGCGGAACTTCTGCACACGCCTGCAAAAACAATAGAGATATGTTGATTCAATGAAAGCCTTGAATGCGTGTCACACACATTTGCCCTTTCTCCTGCTTCGCCTTTATTATTTCCCTCTTGGCCATCGAATCATAATCCTCAATGGTTCTGTGCATCGCAGCGAGTGAGGCGGATATCTGTCCTAACAAGGTGGGTCCGTGAGTTCTTGCCTATTACCGAAGCCCTTCCTCTCGAAAGTTAGCAGGGAACTCAACAGACCTAGGAGGGATGCTGAATTATCTCCATTGCGTAGCCGCTCGAGATCGGCAGTGAGCGAGTTTGTTTGCCGGACGCCGTGCGTGTAGAGAGAATTCATAGTGCAGCCAGCTGCTCTTCTAGAGCCCTCGAATAAGTGTAGTTTATGACGAGTTTTGTTAGTGTTTGAACAACGTGTGGGTCACTTGCGATACGTCCGGCCGGGACAGCCGAAATATACCGGAGGTTTCGGCATTCAAACTAGCAACTCCCCGAACATACTACTTATATCAGACACATCAACATTAATATTGCATGTCGAAAATGAAGAAATATACAACAAAAAACGTAGAACGGAAAATTACACGATTGAGAAGAGAATAACCTGAAATCATCTGCGTTTTCCCTCCCTTAAAGATTTTCCTCCGGCCCGTTCTGCCTTCTCTGTGCGTCGCGCCTGCTGCTTGGAGCGTTCCGCCAAACGTGCCGCCTTCGTCTGATATCTGACACTCTTCGTCTTCTCATTTTTCTTTGCCTTGCGCTTTGGCTTCAAAGGATCATTCTGAGCTCTCTCTTTCCCTTTTGGTTTCACGGACGAGGGAAGAGGGACGTCCGATCGATCAGTGGGTGCGGAGCTGGTTATGGATGGGCCATGTAAGAAGGCGGCGGGATCGAAATCTTCGACCACTGTCACAGTAGCAAGTTGTTCTTCGCCTTCATACTCTCCGTTTACCTCTCTGTCCCTGGCATTCCCCGAGGAACCGAGTCCCTCGTCATCTGAATCATCTGTCAAATGTTAATGCTCCACAGCACAACGCACACGGTGATTGATCACCTATGGTGGCACCGTATGCCTTCTCAACCTCCGCTGCGTTCTGTGCAGCTCGCTCTGCTAAGGCGCGTCGATGCTAGTTAAAACGATCAAACTTCTGGAAATGGCAAAATAACCAACTGGACACAGACACACCTCACGTCGCGTGTCTAGTCTTTCCTGCTTTTCCCTGAGCTTCGCCTTCTTTATAGCCTCCTCTTTCTTTGCCACCTTCCGCTTGTGAAATCCAGTGAGAAACTCTCTAACGAGGACCATGTGTGAAACCCTGCATTCGCGGATCTGTAGCATTCGTACCTGCGAGCATCATCATCGAATACAATTTCCTTGATCTGATTTCGTTTATCGCGTTTTTTCGCTGCAACCGCTCTATGCGACTGTGTTAAAATGGCGATATTGGAGTTCATGGAAGATGAGAGGATAGTTGCCGGCGGTCCGGGAAATGAACGGGATATGTTTACATAATCCGGAGGAGGAGGAATACAGTACTTGGCATTTATTGACAAGCTGTTGGCATCGTATTCTTCTTTCGTCTGGAAATGGGATTATAAGATGTAGCTGCTCTCAGGCGCACATTTTTTTCGCTCCTTTCTCCCCCACCCATCTAGAGCACTGGCCTTTCACTTTCCTCATCATCCTTTCTGTCGCTGAGCCTGATCTTAATGCCTGCTCTCGCTTTCGCAGACACTTCACAGCCAGTTGACCCCGGTCAGGGTTCAGGACACGCGACAAATCGTGATACTATCAATTATTATATGCGCTCGCCCGCTCCAAGAGGACAGAGATCACCCAATGACCTCCACGCTCTTTACGATAACAGCAGCACAAACTTCATCCCCCCATACTCCCAGCCTGCATACTTTGAGCGTGTTTATCCGCTCGCCGGCCAGCAGATATCAGCACAAGCTCAGAATACACTCCCACCACCCTCAATGTTCAGTTATTTTGCAGTACCCCCTCAGGGCCATGCTGCGTCGTGGCAAACACATTTATCAATGTCAATGGTCCAGCATAACTCTTATCCACCCCCATCTTTCCCGCCCGCTCAACTCGCTCATAAAGTGTGGATACTGGACTGTAAATCTTGTGGCACATTTCTCACCAATCGCGGTATGAAGGCGAGTTAATTTTAGACCTTAATTTTTTGATTCTTTTGTCATGTGAGAGACAGTTGATAACCCCAAAATCTGTTTTCCAGGCTGTTTTGCTGCTCAGACCCAACGTCTCTCTTTTTTCCACCGATGCACTTCCAATAAATTGTTCCGCATACACGTCAAATCCGGACGCTCTTCGCCCACCGCCCTGCCGTCCATCAACTAATGCATCTCCCCCTCGGACGTGCGAATGCCTGACTCAGACTCTCTGCTGTCATACTTGCGGTACAGCCGTCGGCTATATGATCGTGATTCCAGTAAGATTCCTGGTGTGAGAACTGTGTGAAGCTCTGATTGTGTTGACATGTTTTATCAGTGTTCTCGATGTACGTCGTCAATCACGGCGACTAATCGCGCGACCAATGGCCATCGCTTCGTCTTCCATTCTAGTGAAATACTCGCATCGGAACGATATCATATCCCTGACGAACCAGGGGTTATCCCATTAGAATTCACAGCACCTATTTCCCCTCCTCCTTTGACGTCCGCTTATTCTGCGCTATCTTCTGTTGATGGTCCCGCTGGCTATCGGCGTATTTTACATCCATTCCCTTCCCAGCCTTCCCCTACCTTGTCCCATTCATCTTCTGAATCAATTCCCACACCTATCTCAGAGCACGGGGACCTGGGCTCCACACCACACCCATCCTCACCCGATCCATACTTATTCACAGCGTCAGCTTCTCCTCGGCGTTCCCCACGTCCTCTACCTCGGTCTCCATCCCCTCATACATCGACATCGCGGCCGATGCGGTCTTCGTCACAACCAGGTAATCAGGAGTCTGCGCTCGAGTCAAGTGGAATGCCTGTTGAATCGCCTGTTCGTCGGCTGAAGGCGGGGGATGTGCTCTATTGGCACCACCTGGCAAAGAATGGTGAGATCCCAGGGGTGCAAGAGGATCCGCGCGCTAGGGTGCCGAAGAAGATTAATGGACCTAAATTCTCGGGCCGCTGAGAATATTTAGGTTGTCTGGACGACATCCTTCGTCTTCAGGAACACAAGTTGTCCGAGCACTTTCGATTCACGACTCATCATGACCCTGTTGTTTACATCCATAAAGACAGACTTATAATGGTATCTATTTCCTGATCGATATGTTCATTATTCATTGTGCAATTTCACTGTCTCTCACAGAATACCACGATACCCTCATCTTGTCCCCAATGTATCCGTCACTCGCGGACTCGCGCAAATAGGTCAATCACATTGTTACATACTATCTAAACCTCGTCCACTTGTTCTCTTGATACCTCACTCAGAAGGATTGTTCTGTTGAGATATAGATCAGAAACAAATGAGTGATCGTCAGTCGACTGCGAAAGGCAAGGACACTGAACCGCTTCTGCAGTCACGAGTCCACTTAGCCAAACTTACGCTGAGGTTCGATCGCGCTATCAATGGAATACGGATAAACCTCGGAGCATGGATAGTCGAACTGCTATCTCGTGGACTTTTCTAGCGGTCCGCTAACTCAACCTTGGCTCCACTGCTCCACTGCTGCAGTACTTAAGGTTATACTAATGAAGATCATGCAGCGCTGCACATCTCCTTCGCTATGTCTTATCTGAAAGTTTCTGGAACAAAGGTCGTCGATGGGGGTGGCAAAGAGGTCGTCCTCAGGGGGGCAGGTCTCGGAGGGTGGATGAAGTGGGTTGTTATGCTTTCTGAACACATTCACGGATCTTGATATTTCTCCCTCTGATAGCATGGAGAACTTCATTTCTGGGTACCCAGGCTGCGAATTCCAGATCCGCGCTGCTCTTGCTGAGGTCGTAGGACCTATCAAATCAGATTTTTTTTTCGACAAGGTAGGTTGATCTTTATCTGCAGCGTTGTTCCCGCTTCTGATGGGCAAACCAAGTTTCTGGAGTACTTTTTCCAAGAGGAAGACGCCAAGTTTTTCAAGAGTCTTGGACTCAACTGCATTCGGTTACCCTTCAACTACAGGCACTTCGAAGGTACATACGTGCCTTGAGTTTTCGTAATTTGTCGGACTTACGGTGTCGATCAGATGACTTGAATCCCCGTGTCCTGAAAGAAGAGGGTTTCAAGCACCTTGACCGTGTGATTGACCTCTGTGCCCAACATGGCATTTATACCATCCTCGATCTGCACGCTGCTGCAGGCGGTCAAAACACCGACTGGCATTGTGATGCTGGCACGCACATCGCAAATTTCTGGTTACACAAAGACTTCCAAGACCGTACAATCTGGCTCTGGAAAGAACTTGCTAAGCACTATGCTAACAACAAGTGGATTGCCGGCTATAACCCACTTAACGAACCCACTGATTCCACGCATACCGCTGTAATAAAGTTTTACGACCAAGTTTACGACGCCATACGCTCGATTGACACAGAGCATGTCATTTTCTTCGACGGAAACACATTTGCAAGTGACTTCTCACATTTCGGTGATATGCACAAGAAGTGGCAGAATACCGCGTACTCGATCCATGGTATACTCTTGAATCACTGTTCCCACGATTTCATCTTACAGAGACGGCAGACTACAGTGTGTACGGTTTCCCTGCTAGTCCAGAGGACTATGTCAGCTCCGACGAACAACGGCAGAGAATGAAGAAAAGCTACGAGAGGAAGAGGGAATGGATGGACCAGCACGGGCTTTGTGTCTGGAACGGCGAATGGGGCCCAGTCTATGCTAGGAAGCAATATGATGGCCTTGCTACAGACGCCATCAATGAACGACGGTACAAGGTTCTCAAAGACCAGTTGGCAATCTACAATCAGGTACATCTGTACTGAATACCGTTTCTTACTCCTTACTGACACAATACCAGGATCGTTTGAGCTGGTCGATCTGGTTATACAAGGATATCGGATTCCAGGGCATGGTCTACGTTTCGCAAGAAACATCGTACATGGCCCTACTGAAGGACTTCCTGGCGAAGAAACATCGTCTTGCTGTGGACGCTTGGGGTGCTGATACCACTCAAGTCCAGCACATATATCAACCTCTTATCGATCATATCACAAAAGAGATACCGCAGGAGAACCAGAACCTATATCCGTTTCCAGTCTGGAAACTCTCTCATCGTGTTGGTCGCCTGTCCCGCAGTATACTGGTAACCGAGTATCTTGTCAAGGAATGGGCAGAACACTTCCGTGGAAAAAGCGAGGATGAGCTCGATGAAATTGCGAAGAGCTTCAAGTTTGAGAACTGTCTCCGCCGTGATGGACTAAACAAGATCTTGATGGACAATGCAGCAATAGTTGAATTTTAATTGTAGAAACAAAAGCCCTCGCTTGGTTTGTATTTTATCGTTTATCGTTCCTAACACTGCGAGTATGAGGCTAGCTAGCTCATGTGATGAAGCAATATTAAAGCCAAGCCGTGCGTCAACCAATCCAGTCCCAATATGTGTGAGCCCTACGTTTATGATTAGAAGTTCGCCACCGCGACAATCCTGGCAACCGACGACGGGTCGACTGGTGTCCATGTCAACTCGGTACGAGCATTGCATTCGACATGGTAAACGATATAATTATAAGTGGCATCCTGATAATCGAATTGCACGTCGAAGCAATCAAAAATGAAAGATTCACGAGTTTAACAGCAAGAGAGATTATCATACCCGCAGCGCGTCTCGAGTAGGAAGTCCTACAATACGAGCTACAACAATGCTATAATTCAGTAGGAGACAGCCCTGACGAAACTGAGAACGAACGAAAAAAAACAGTCTAGATAAGTTAAACCATTCTAAATAATGATAACCCGAGGACGATGTAATAGATCGATACATAAGGACAGATACTAACTCACAAGATGCGAGATAGGAGTACCTATGCAGATCATTGGGTCCATACAGTCAATGCTCAACGACATCTACTCGGTTCTCCAGCCACTGCTCAACAATGCTCTGTAAGCCACCTTGGTCGCGTAGGAAGTCAAGCACGCTATGACCGATGATGTTGCTACACTGTTCTGCTCGCCCAAAACCTGATAGGCAGCTCTTTCTATATTCATCTTCGGAGACATTGATGATAGAGGAGATCGACGGAATGGATGGTGACTCAATTGTGACTCTGGAGTAACTCCGTAGGAGCACAGGCAATGCGATGAGAGTTGGCAGATCAGCAGTGATCCTCTCGATCTCCTCTAGAATTGCTTCATGGGATTTGCCAACCTTGAACAGAGGATTGCCTATGTTTTCAAGCAATGTAGCCAGAGCCGTCAAGTCAGAAAGCGCCTCATCGACAGCCTCGCGAGCTACGCGTGTCGCATCACACTCTGCAGACGGACGTGGAAGAAGAGCCATGAGCTCATAGAGCGCACGTGCGTCAGCAGCTGCTGACGGAGTAACCGAGATGTCGGGAGGAGACGATGGCCGTGAAGGCAGTTTAAGAGCAAACCGTGTAGGGGGAGGAGTTGCCGATGTATTACCAGAAATGGCACGCTGCCTCTTGGTTAAAGGTGTGAGCTGTGGCGAACTCAGTGGTGACGTTGGCGGTGAAGGCTTCACTCGGGGTCGATTAGCGAAAGCAACGAGCGCTCTCCAAATCATCGAGATCAAGAAAGTCGCCAAGGTCGTCTGGGAGGGAAGGGTTGTCGTGTACTGCGTCAATGCACGAGCGTACACAGGCATGAGTGCCTGTAATGATACGATTGATGGGTGGAGAGCTTTGGCACCTGTCTTAGGCACGCTAACAGCAACAGGATTCTCCAGAGACTCCAGGAGAGGTATCAGTTCAGACTGGATGCCCGTAATGAGCGGGTTCACAACACGCCCAATGAGGGAAACGAGGCCTTCACGAATCGCCTTCAACCCGTCTCCTCTCGCATCATTTTCAAAGCCCAAACTCATTTCATCGAAGCTTTCGAGAAGCTCTCCTGCAAAGCCAGCTGCTGCAAGTGCATGAAGCTGAGTTGCATTGGGATTGGGAGCCTGCACAGTGGGAACAAGCGTAGAAAGGAATGCTGGCGAGGAAAGGAGTGGAAGAAGGAGTGCCGAGAGGTTACTGAGTAGAACAGACAATGGCCTGTGAAGTGAACGAAGGATAGCCTTGTGCAAATGTGGATTGTTTTGACATGCCTTGAGCTCACTGGTTATAGCAGTTTGATCAAAAATGGTCCCAAGAATGAAAAGAAAATACACACGAGGCAATTAGAAGTCCGAGAACTCGCCCACGACCAGCAGGAATTGGACGTCTGCCTCCAACCAACTCGCCAACAGCCACTGGACCAGTGGGCTGCATCATTGCCTTTGAAACCGCCTCACTGAGCTTGAGACTGAGGGCCTGTAGGTAAGACCCGTCTTGTACAAGCAGAGTTGGAGGGGGGGAGTAGATAGACGTCGAAGATGACGATCGTTTGAAGCCACTGAAAGAGAGCTTGGTGAGAGGTCGGGGTGTCCTCTCCAGGATCATGGCGGGTTCGGGACGGGACGGGGAATTTGGTGATGTGGGACGACTATTGGGGCGGAAGAGGTTTGGATGCTTGAATGAGATCATTGTCCGTAGTATAACGGTAGGGTGTTTAAATAATAAGTATCGTGAAGTGTTCTCTCGTGTTTGACCTTCGTTCTATGTGCAGAGATTGTTGCGGTTCCAGAGCAGGCGTCTGTTGCGAGGATTACAATAAACTTATCCCATCAGCTAATAGGAATGAGGAAGAGAGAGACAAGTCAAAAATTTCGACTAGCTCTAAGTTTAAGGAGGACGGTCTGTGTCAACAAGGGAAACTGCAAGAGGTCCGAGGAGGATGATGGTGTGAGTCAGGCGTGGAGTGCTGCGAGTTATGGACATTAGACAGTCAGCAAACAATATGCCAGAACGTGGAAGACGTACTTCGAGGGTGAATAAAAAATCATAGATTGGTACGAAAAGCGATCCCAAGTGATTCTTGGTCTATGGCTGGAGGGAAGACTTGCTAGTCAATTTTTTCGAGTTATAATCAAACCACAGTTTTCCCACGGCTAGAGGCTGACCGGACGACCTTATCGAAATATCGGCATATCTATAGACCATTTGCCGACTCGCACGATGTCAAGTTTTCCGAGCATCACGAATCTTGTTCCGGCTTTGTTCCGGGTGAGCTCAACAGACGCGCCTAAAATGGCTCATCACTTGATGATGATCCTTGTATTCACGACCTCAGAAATTTATTTCTCACCGTAACATCTCAACAAAGATAGCTGATGAGCCAATAGCAATCTCCTGCATGACAAACAGCAGGGCATCTTATATATCCTCCAAGAGTCTCTTGATAGTGGTTCGTAGCTCAGGATCATCGCACCGGAGGCGCCACAGGCAGCTTTCTTCTTCACTTTCCCGGAGGCGAAGGGCGGCACCTTGTTTCGGCTCCACAGTAACCAAGACTTTTAGCTCCCCTGCCAGACGGGCCGGAACAAATATAGATATCAGCATGGTTCTATCTTGCAGACCGGTTTGGGGGTAGTAGACATACCTTCAAATGGTGGCTGATCAACCGCGATGACTCTCATGGAGTGCTGTAAACTCTGTAGAAGTCTTACTACGTTGTCCATCGGCGACTCGCACCAGCCTCGGAGATTGTAGTTTTCCATGGCATCCCAGACGTCTTCGAAGCCTGGCTCAGGAGTCGGAAATGTAACGGGCACTTCGCTGCAGGCGGTATCGAGTGATATGAGATCAACACGAGATGTCTGATGGTACGATCACACATTCAAGTTAGCCGCTATGACGAATACGTTCAAATTGCTCTGGAGACGTACTAAGTCTTCATTCGGTGATGCGTTCGAATTTCGAACGTGGTCAAGCTGATTATAGTCAGACGTAAGGTTATGCATGTACTCAGGAAATTCTCACCTCGGGCAGCTCTTGCAATGGACCCTGCGCGGCAGCAATAGTCAACTCTCCTGGGGTGATGGTCCTTGCAAGTTCGGATGGCATCCCACGTTCACTAGCACGTGAGGAACTTCGGGTCCTGCCAGTGCTTCCCGGACTTGAGAAGGTGCTTCTGCTCGGGCTTAATGGATGCCTTAGACTAGGCACAGCCTGGGGAGTGTCATATGCTTCGTAACGTAACTGTCTGGGAGATAAGCTAGCTCGTGGAGGCGAGCCCAGCGAAAGTCCGAAAATTGTTGATGAAGGCTTTAAATTAACAGGCGGTACAGGCGGTGAGGCGGCGGCATTTGATCCATAAGTTGTTAGAGCAACCAAAAAGTCTGGAAGCTAATCTGGGTTGGTTCTCAATAGAGGGAAGGGAATGACCGCTGCCTTACTGAAGATGAGGATGCTTGAGCGATGATACTGGTAAGCACATCCCTTTGACCACAGTATGTCAAGAACAGGCCACACCGCTGATGGGCATGTCATTTCGAACTTTCCAGACGGCGACGGGACTCACATTCCGAATACGTTTTCCGGAGAACTGAGATATCTCGGTAACAAGCTTCAAGATAGTGTGCGGGATCTGGTCACACTCTGCAGACATCCGAATCATAGATAGCAGACATGCATCTTGAACTGTGACTGCTACTTCCTGAGTTTTCATTCCACTGGTTCAAGATATATCTTGTACGCACCACCATATGAGACAAGTCTGCTAGCCATTCCCTGGAGTAGTGATAGGGGTGATGTTGCTATCTTTCCGCAGTATTCACAAGCCAAAGCAGAAATAACCACCATGAGAGTTGGTCCAATCCGAGCACCTGACTCCGTGACAGGAACTGCCAGTGCGGTAACGCACGATATACGAGATGTAATATCAACTGAGGCAGTCAGCGTAAAATCAGTAACGAAATGATTGCACATACATTCCCGGATGTGGGTAAGGATAATCTCAAGGCCTACTTCAAGGACAGACATGTCCTCCGTACGACCTTGAGTGTCACCTTCTGCAACGCCAAAGAGGTCCTTAAGGTATCTAGCATACTGTTCCCCATCATTCCCATACTGAAGCACGCCAACATCAAGCAGACGAGAAACATATTCGCCCTTGTCAGATAAAGTCAACCCTGCAGGCAAGTTATGTAGCAACTGCGTGTTATACGCCTTGACAAGGGAAGAATCGACCGCGTGTAGGACCCTCAGGGTCTGGGAGCGTTCTATATCAGTATCGCAGCCCCACTGGTCATAAGTTGTCGGCGCTCACTATCTTTCGAACAAGCCTGTCATGTGAATCAAGAAGTTTCATCACCTCTTGAACCTCCCACTCGTCTAAGACTGCTATTGTTCCTGGAAGGGTCCCTGCCCAAAGAGTGGGGCTCAGGCAATCTAAACACGAAACAAACAGGTACTGATCGTTAGGATCCTTTGACGTCAATAGGCGTCGAATGCAAGCCACTGGCGACAGAGACTGCTGCATTTGGCATTCTTGGATAACCTCTGCTGATACGGATGATAAGACAAGAAAAGCCTCCCGCAGTAGCACTATTAGGTAGATTCAGCCAAAGTCTTGCAACGCAACTACCCAAGTCACCTCGCACGGGGGGGCTGGATGTACGCTTGATAATGTCGAGAACAATACCAACATTTGGCATCGATAACCTGCTCATCCGTTAGATGTCAAATTGAAGTTGGGCGAGTTACACGTACTTAGCCTTCCGAAGGGCTCGAAGGACCAATAAAGTAAGAGATTGAGACTGACGACCGGGTCTTTGCCACACAATTGGCAGAAGAGCGTTGACTTCATCATTGATGGAATCAACTTGATTGAGCTAAATGTACAATGTCATTTCCATTTGCACCCCATCAAGATACACGCACTTTCATGGCTACTGCCATAGCGCAAGAGTCTATAGAAGGCAGTGTACGTTGAATGCGGAGAACAACTGCATCCTCTAGTGGTGTCAAGCGCGAAGGGTCATTGTGCAGCAGCGAGTGATATGCCAGATAAGCTCTACGACGAACTGATATCCTTATTGCAGAGTCAGTATGCACCAGCGATCACAAATGTCTTGAACTGACGATTTGTGCATGAACAAGGCCTGCAATTGCGATTGTACGGCGGGTATCACTTCGTCATTTGGCATTTGAATTAAGACGCTGAGAGCGAGGCAAACACGTGCTGTGGACAAGCTTTCTAGATCCTTTGAAAGAAGTCAGACTGATGTTTGAATAATCACGAATGCACTGACCTTGCGAATGGTATTGACTAACATGAGCTGCAACTCATGATTCGGTGGCATAACTTCAGTGCAAAAGATAAAGCCTATTTGTTTATTAACAAGGTAGATTCGAGATTCAAGAATAATAATCACCATACCGAGTTGCTTGTCACGCAATGTCTGCCCCATCTCGGCCAGATTGACAGCTTGTGGCAAAGCAAAGGCGAGCTCGCCAGGATTAACGTGTGTCAAATTCATGGAACAGTAAAGAAGTATGATCAGCTTCTCCCTGCATTCTTTCTGTACGTCACGTCTACTCAAATGTATGTCAAAGATGCCGCTGCTTACGCACGAGAGATATGCCTCCAACAGCGAAGTGACGTCTAATGCCATCAATTTCGCTCAGGTGGATCTGGTCTGCTGCTTGCGGGGACTGCGCAGACTCCACTTTGCGCACAAAAGAGTAGTGAGCGCGGCTTAGAGCACCAGAGTTGATGAATGTCACGTCCATCTGAGAATAGAGTAAGATGGGCGCGGAGGTTAAGCGTGTCGGTGGGCGCTTATGTGACAGTCGCGACATAGGGATGAGCACGTGAACTGAGGTAAACAAAAATCAACATGGCCTCCTCTTCGCCACAATCATCAGCAGCGACTGCACATTCATTCAATAAGATCCTCAATCAGTCCAGGTCGTCAAAATCAAAACGTTCTGGTGATATAGATGAAGGAACAAAGAAATTGCGGCGGATGATCCTGGTCGAGGGCATACCTTCAGAGATTGTATGTTTCCAAGATTCTCGAATTTGAGCTATGCGAAATGATCTCATTAATAGGACCCTACCCTCCGGCCTCGGATATGGAAAATTCTACTGCGCGTAGATGACGTTTCAGCGTGCATATTTCTAGAATACGTTGCTCGTGGCCCTTGTGAGGTTCGAGAGAAAATAAGGAATGATACATTCAGGTACGTCACAGGCGCCTGATACTAATTGTTGTGCCAATACTTCTCGTAGGACTCTAGCTACAGATCGAGGTTTTAAGGAACGAGTACGAGAAGATATGCTCGTCCGTCTGTTGGATGCTTTTGTGTGGCGCAGTCATGGTGAGAACTATTGCTTCAACGTGAGACAAAAGAGTAACCGGCCCTTGTAGACAGGCAAGAAACTCAGCAACTCGGCTTTACATACGTCCAGGGGATGAACGTACTGGCTGCGCCGTTTCTGTACACCATGCCTTCAGAACTGGAAGCTTTCTTCTGCTTCGCCAGGTTCATCGAGGAGTGCTGCCCACTATATGTTCAACCCACGCTAGAAGGAGTACACCGTGGTCTCAAGGTAACGTTTTTGTGGTTTCTTTGGCGTTTTGCTAAATTTTCTATAGCTACTTGACAGATGTTTGAAGATAGTGGACCCCGAACTGTTTGCGTATTTGCGAATGAAGAACCTTTCGGCTGAGATTTATGCGTTTCCGTGTATGTGCCTCATCCATAAGCATTCGATTCGTTAATGATCATTGCTTTATAGCTGTTCTGACACTCTGCGCATGCACGCCACCTCTTGACCAAGTGCTCCAACTATGGGATTTCCTCCTTGCATTTGGCGTACATCTCAATGTCCTATGTGTTATTGCCCAGCTGCTTCTCATGCGAGATGAAGTAATGGTATCATCAAGGTTTATCAATAGTTTTGTAGTTGCGCACTCCATGCTTATCTTGATTCTAGTCCCATGCGCTTACTGCGAACATTCCCACCCCTCGAGGCAGTTCCAGTCATAGGCATTGCAGTAACCCTCGTTCGCGACCTCCCTGTAGATCTATATGACGAACTTGTTCGGCACCCGTACGAAATCACTCCGATGTAGCCTACACCTTTCTGCAGACCGCCGCGTTCACAGGTTCCTCCATCCATACTAATCTTGTAGCATAACATTTTTATGACATCTGTGTTGTATGTAAGTTTCCTGTATGCCATGCTACTTATTTGTATAAAGTTCTGAACACCTGTATATCACAAACCCGTTATTCATCGCCTCCACGTTTGAACAATTCCGGATTTCCTTGTGTCCTACATTGCTTATCACCACTGCTGCTCCCTCGTCGGGTTGTCGAAAGCGGTATCAAATTCTCTGTCGACTATCTGCTATATGAGCGCGGATGTATATTTCATCATGGTCTATCTAGGGGAAAGGAGGTAGATCAAAATCATCATACCTTTAAGTCATGTATCTACCACTATCACGTCTTCCCCAAGGCTGTTTTTCATGGGTTCTGTATTGCTGATGTGCCTCGATTTCTTAGTCTACACATTCTCCTGAGTTTGGCTCTAGCTTGACGAGATGCAAGGAATGGTGGAAGCACAGCCTCAGCTTTTTGATAAGCACTACTCAGATTACGGTAAGTATTGCATAGTAGCCTTCTGCCAATCGCGATGATCCTCAAGAGGCTCTTCAGGTACCCTCAGCTTGAAGGTGCAGGAAAAACCCAAGGACACTGCCCTCAAAAGGAGGTAAAGACCGTTGCTATAAGGTTATCATTATGGTTCCGTTGCGTAGTCGACTTGTAGCTAGTTTGCATCTTCAATCCTCAATAACCTCCCAACCCTCCTCGACAATAATTGGAGTGGTCTGATGTTTTCCGTCTGCCCGTGTTGTTATTTCTGCCACGTCTGCCCCATACTTTGCCGCCATCGTGCCTATGATCCTGATCCGCTTGATGCCACCGTCAGGGTGAATTGATACTTTGACATGTGTGTACTGCTCGCATGGGCTGCTCAACCGAAAGAAATGCATGCAGTGGGGGCCCAATTTAACGGGCGATAAAATCATCTTCCAGTCATCACTATTTGCATCTGGCGCGATGTCTTGACTGTTTATGCCCCGAATATCACAACTCTCTGGAAAGTTGCCTTTGAAATGAATGGTATCGATGACTGCCGTTGACAAGTATCCTGGAGCACCCCTGAAAAACTGATTAATGACGCTTAACAGTCTACAAGCGAGTACAACATACAGTTTGATAGTGACCCAGTCCTGGTGATCCTTCGTATAGCTTCTTTTGGTTTCCCATCCATCTCCCATATCTTTCCCTGTGGTCTATGAGAAAGCTGCAATTTGTTCAAAATTCTGATGTCAACTGACCTCGGCCCGGAAGAAGAAGATTCGAGCTTGACCCAAAATGGTCGTTGGATGTAGCGACGACCTTACCGCCCGTGAAGATATGAGCAAGGTCAAAGGGTTCTACAGGATTTGCAGGAAATACAGGCGTGATATGTCCATAAACGCGAAAGCGGGCCTGCAAAGCGGGAAGCATTTACATAAAGCAAATAAGCACACGCACACTTACGATCCCTCCATCTGGATAAATTCTAAGTCTGACATATGTAGCCTGTCCTGTCGCAGGTATCTTGTAAAGATGTCGGCGTGATGGTCCTAGGGGTACTTTAGGAAGGATGCCTTCCCACTGGGGTGTCAATCAGCTTTGTCACTGTCCTGATGATGCCACGAGCATCACGCGTACCGTTGTTTCTTCGTTTGGAAATTCGTGTGCAGCGTCAACAGAAGCCTCTGGTGCTTCATTACCTGTGCAGTAATACTGTCAAATTCTGGTCCTATATCGAGTGATAACCCGGGCACACCACTAAAGTGAGTTGTATCAATGTCAAAACCAGTGATTATCCCTGTCGTTCCCAGTTTGATAGTACACCTATGCAGAATGTCTTCTTGCAAGATACGTTGGTTGCAAAGAAGTACCCACCAGTCATACGTTGGGTTGTGTCGCCGCGTTTCCCATCCGCTATAAAGCTCCCCGTTCGGTCCATACTGCTTAGCGAGGTTTAAGGGCGGCTGTAAACTTCTGTATCGAATCAAGGCGTCGAGTAACGGAGTCCAGTTCTAACCTCGACTAGGAGCAGTTGATATGCCTCAGCAAAGAATTCATCAGAAACATTCACAACCTGTCCTCCTATGGATACACTCGATAATTCTGTCGAAAGCCAGCTCAGTTGAAGAAGGAAATATCGTTTTTGACAACTGACCTGTTGTGGACCCAAACTCTTTGGAGAAATCCTCCAGTGGAACCACCTCGTACGCCAACATTGTCATGATAAGGATAAGCCCGCAAAGCCGGCCATGAGATATGATTATAATTAGAAAACAACCGCCACTGCATGTAGAAATGTAGGGTTGTTGAATATTGTAACTTGGAGGGACAAATTCAATGCAGCAGTGACGTAGAACAGCTACACCATACAAATTTCTGACTGCTGTTCCAAGGGTTTAGTGTTCAGCATCTTTTCGAAAGTCGCCTTGACTGAAACGAAGTTGCGATGTATGCGTGAGATGATAAATTCCAAAATCTTCGTCTCCTTCTCCTTCTCCCTCTTCATCTCCCTCTTCATCTTCTCCCTCATTTTCTTCCATTAGTTGAGTGCAATCAATATACCCCCCGCAGCACTCCTCAGAACCAAGGCTTGGCGATGGGCTTGTTGCTCTGGCTTGCGAACTGGCTGACGAGGACGCAGGAGTTTGATCCATCCGTCGTCCATCGATAGGAGACAGTATCCGATTTGGAGGTGACGAGTGAGCTTGGAATTCTTGAAGAGCAAGAACATGCGAGGGCAGAATTTTTATTGGCTGTGGGGATGCTCGACGAGGGGAAGATGACTCGGAATGGCGAAGGTTGCTAGGACCTGCGGGTGGTTGTGAATATGAGGATATTGATGGTTGCCGATGATGGAAGGAATTGACATCGAGAGGGACCGGCACACGAGGTGCAGTGATCTGTTGGAAGCGTGCGATTGATGCAGAGGCGTTTAGTAGGTCGCGCAGTAGGTCGGATGATACTTGTACCTAGATGAAGAATCTACAATGGGTTCACTGTTTCGTCGAAGAACTGGAGTGTAACATACAACTTCCTGTGGCGAGCCAAAGGGTATGGCAGCTCGAGCTAGTTCTAGCTCTCGTCGTAATCGCACATTCTCATCTTCGGCTTTTAGACATCGTTGTTCGAGTTCGGTAAGATATCGGGCTTTGCGCGCGCGGTAATCGCGTTGCTGTGTAAGCTGTCGTGTAGGGGCAGCGGTCAAATCTCTCTTGCGTCCTCTGACCATGTTTACTGTATGGTATGTGATGAATACGTTGAAGGGCAGGAATGTCCCAAGGATGACAGTCGTGGTGTGAACTAGACTCGTAACCAGTCTGACATATACACGCTGAGTTTGCGTTGGGTGTTCTTGAGTAGACCATTACTTACCAATTTTGCGCCCCTTCGAGTCAGCCTAGCGTTCAAATTAAGTTGGCTCCGAGGTTCAGTCGCGTTTTATGGACTGAGCTGGCAGCTGGGGCCTTGCAGCATGGTGAGCTGTTCGGCCACAAACTTCTCCTACGCTACTATCGTGGGAGTCGGGAATATGCCAATCTTGTGGTGTTGCAGACTGGCACAATTAGCAACCGACTACGGTATTTTGGCACATCACGATGATTGACTACAAGGCCTCGAACTTGGGGAATGTTGTTTCTGGAATGAGTACTGGCTCGACGGTATTCCATGTCAATATGACAAGCGGCGTTGCATTGGTGTGTATCCCTACATGTCTTTCACCTTCAGTCCTCGATCGCCCTTCATTCAGCACTGCGTTCGCCTGTTCAAGCATTTCGATCTGCATATTTCTTGGCAGAGTTTATAATACTTGCCATGTCGCTTTTATCATCTATGATTTTATTCGCGGAAGCTCCTGGCGCACCATCTCTTCTACTACTCGTACCAATGTTTGTTTTGCTCTTTCTCCCTCTTATTGGAAGAGGCACGCATTCACCGGCTGAAAATTGGGATGAACTAGCTTTGCCAAATGGAAGAAGTCGAGCAGACACTCCACTGACGCACTCACCTCAATCCCTCAGATCCTTACCTGCTGACTACCCGTGTTCATGATGTTGGTGACAATTCTGTGTATACTCGCTGTTGATTTTCCAGTGTTTCCCCGTATTCTAGCAAAATGTGAGACATGTGGTGTTTCTCTGGTGCGTCCAGAACATACCATGTTCTTCGACTTTCATACAATTTGGTTCATAGATGGATATCGGCGTCGGCTCCTTTGTGTTCTCTCAAGGCGTGGTGTCTGCGATTCCAACCATTAAAGACATATCCTACCTCCAGGCTCCGATCCTTCCTAAACTGAAGTCCGTCTCCCGTAAGATGATACCCATCATTGTGTTAGGTATTCTTCGTGTCGTGCTCGTGAAAGACACTGAATATCCTGTAGGGTCTTTCCATAAGTTTCGTGTCACACCCACCGCTTAACAGCTACAACCAGGAACATGTGACAGAGTACGGTGTACACCGGAACTTCTTCCTCGCGCTTGCGCTTTTGCCTATCATCGAGGTCTTGTTGCATCCCATGATCTTGCGTATCCTGTTGCTCTGCTGGGTCTTTGGATTGGAGTTCGTAAGTAATAGTCCGGTTGTCGTAAGAAACTTGATCCGGATACCTGTTTAATAGCGCATCAACTCGCACTGTCATCTGGACGAATGAAGGACTTTTTACTCAACGCTTCACGGAGCAACATTATTTTTGCGAACAGAGGGCTTGCTCTCCTTATTGGATATAACTCACTACTCGTGTAGGATGTGTACCTTTTAACCCTCTCTACAAGGCTATGTTTCGATCCACATACTCGGTCTGTCCTCAGGAACTGCCATACTTCCTCCCTCCCCTTCGGTTTCCCGGAAGCAGCAGCAGCAATTACTCGACGGGCCATTTTCTCACCAACCTAGCAGACTCGATCCTTCAGCACCCAGAATGCAAAGATCATCACTGAGTTACTGTTGTATTCAGTTGTTTGTTGGACGCTTCTGGCTTTCGTAAGGCTTGGATTTGAAGTTTCGAGAAGGATGGTTTGTCCTGTTTGTTTGGCTTTGCGTACACGATTTCATGTTAAAAGTCTCATGCGCTGAGATGATTCCTAGGCAAATATCTCATATGTCCTTTGGGTTGCAGCTTACAACACCTCTTTCATCCTTGGCTACATATTACTCGACATGGTCGTTTTTTTCCCACCAGAACGTTAAAGATACGAGATCCAACTGATCCTTCAGGCGAATGGCTCCTCATCGAGGAAAAGGGGCCGAAAAGCAGCGCGCCCGCGCTGTTGGAGGCTATCAATAGAAATGGATTAATGTTATTCTTGCTGGTTCGTCTTGCTAATGTCACCTGCATTTGACGTCCCGACATCTATAGAGTGAAATGTGGCCACCGGTTTGATCAATCCCAATATCCGAACTATATTCGTGGGTAACATGAAGGCGATGTGTTCATTGTGCGCATACTCTATGGGCATGTGCGTATTTGCATGGCTTTGTAGAAGGAAACAGTTATGGAAGATGTGAGAATAACATACACTCCCGAAGCGTTTACACAGTCGAGCCTCCACCAGTTGGTGCTATGTCAAGACGTTTGTATTTTCCGTTTGTTTCAGTCTTCAGCCCATTAGATTTCAAGCTTACTGTGGTCAGTCGGAGTGCGATCAAGGTACAGTGGTATGTGCTCCTGGAAATATGAATTCTGTCACGCAAGATGATGCATACACCACGTCATGTCCATATACATAAAACAGTTCGCTACATGAGATATGTAGATTTCAAATTTGGGCTCCGCTTGATCAAAGGTGTCAGAAGGAACGTTTGCCCACTGTTCAAACACGTCAAAAACGTCCAAGCAGATTACGATGTGTTCTCCCAAATTCACTCCTTAGACAGAGTGAAGTTGCTCCTTGCGAACAACTTGCGAGAAAATCTCCAAAGCTGCTTGGGGTTGGAAGGCAGCCTACCAATGACATAACAGACATCAGCAGATATCATCACCCTCAAGAGAGTTGACTGACCACTTCGTGTCCAGCACCATACACTCGTCTAAAACGTAAAACGATGAGGTATATCTCTCGTCAACAAGCTGAGATGAAAAATGACTTACGCAAAAGAGAAGTTGTCGACGTTCTGCACAGCCGCAACAGGCTTGCCGTCGATCGTCATATTGGTGAATGGGGTATTGTGGAGCGTCTCATTGCCATACCAATCCATCGCTAGAACTGACGCGTGGCCCTATTAGCGAGAACAATTCAGCGAAGTTGGCAGCAAAATATGGGACGGCCTACCCCAAGCCAGTTGCAACTAGAGTCAATGAGAGGCGTCAGGATCATATGAAAGATCATTACAACACGAAAACGGACACCATATCAGCATCTCCAGCCTGTTCATCCCTGATAAATTAGCAGACAACGAAGCAGTCACTAAGCACGCACCCAAATCAAAATTTTCATCCTAGAGTTGACCAGAGCCGATAGCTTGGGTAACCATGTTCTAGCGCCCTTTCAGAGGAGGTTAGATTTAGCACTCGACCAAAGAATTCAGACAACCACATACGTCGCCGGTATTTACAAACTTCTCATAGGGTGCGTCTGAGCATTCCTCGTATTTGACCTGAGCACCGATCTTCTTCATGACATCCTCTTTTTGTAGATAATGGACATAGTATTCAGGAGGAAATAAACCAGATGAATTTTGACGGATATCATAGCCGTCGTAATCGCCCGCAGCAGGGGTGAAGACATTGTCGTCCTGGAAGGGTTTGGTGACGTCCATACATGTAGTATTGATATGTTACTCACACAGTAATTATCGGCGCCCCGGCAAATCTTGTTTGAGTTTGTGGAAGTTCCAGCAGCGTAGCAAGCATTCTCCTGCGCTACGCAACCATCAGGACCGTATAGGGAATCCGAAATGTTCTTGAGTACGTCATCTGGTTGGAGCTGTCCATAGCCAGGGGCATAAGTCGCAAAGTCTAGGTATGCGATGTCCTGAATGAGTGGGTCATACCAGCCACTGATAAATTCTCATTCAACAGGGTGTCAGTAAGTCAAGAAAACGACTTGCTTGTTAATCATCAGGGCGCTGACAACAATCGGAACAGCATCAATCTCCCCGCTAGCGATTAAGGCGTTTTGCTCATCGAAGTAAGTCACAAAGCTGGGTCCATAGTGACCACCATAGCTCTCTGTGGTAAAGATGAACCTGAGCTCAGCATAAGTAATCGTCCGTGATAGCTGAGTTAAGCGACTGACTCTCGACTGGCATACTTTGAAAATAGCTGGCTTTCAAACAAAACCTGAAATGCAGTCCATACAAAGGGCGCAGCGGCTTCCGTGCTGTTTACCGTATCAGTACCGTAAGAAAACCCTGTTCCGATTGGCTGGTCGATGTAGATCACTGGATGAGGAAGTCGGCTCTGGCAACGAAATCAGAGAATTACGTGCTACATACTGTTGCTAAGATTGTTCCAGCTGTAGGAATTTGGAATCCATATTGGATTAGTGTATAAAATCGACCATGATTTCGACATACCTGTAGGGGTTAAGAGTGGTGGAATTACCGTCGGCATTCACCAAGCATGGCCCGTTCTCTGTGAAAAATTAGAAGCAAACCAAAGGGCAATTAAACCAAACGACCTTGAAATAGTCCGATCATAGAAGAACATCCAGGGCCACCATTCAACCTGCGAAAGCAGTTCAGAGGTACAACTCGACTCAAGTACTTGCGCGACCCAGCTTCCGGGTCGGACCTACCATAGAGTGAATGGGGCTGTTTCCGGTGAGTTTCTAGACTCGAAGAACCAGAACCACTGTATCTTAAGTCAGCTTACATCTGGAACATAGGGAACGAAGATATACCATGGACATGTTTGTTCCAACGTTAATGTAACCAGAGATTTGGGTAACATTTGGAGTTGTTTCACAGATTCCTGAGTTCTTGACGTAACGAATGCCAGTTGCATTGTGAGCCTTGGATTGAATCTCGACGTGCTCTGCTTCCGTAGTAGTATGATTGTCCTCGACAACAGAGACGACAAGACTTATGGATACGCCGCGGCTAGCTGCTAGTAATAGTGTAACGCCAACTCGAACGAGTGTTCTCATAAACATGCTAGTGCACGCCGGTAGGGAGATCTAAGTAAAGTCACATCAGCGACGGTCAATTAACTCCAGGTACTTATAGACTACCAGACACACTCTCATGGCGAGATATTATCAAATGATTGGAGGCACTGAGTGCCCACATGATGGCGGCGATAAACACGAGATATGGGAACGTGCTGATGGGTCGGACTTTGGCGCTTCAGCATGATGATGCCATCGTTTTTGACTGCTCGGTTCCACAGCTGGCGAAACGTGTGCTAGAAATGGGGACTTGGACGCACACGATCTTAGCACCTGCCGCATGTGCCACTACTCTGGGCTGCTTATAATCCTGTAAGCTGGGCAGAACCATGGGGGTTGACTAAGTACGAGGCAGGTGGCACGAGCACGTGGTAAGAACGAGTTTGAAGGGCAACAAACGCCTTCTTTCTTCCTTTCCCTCAGTTGAGTCTTTCAATTACATACAGTTTGCAAAAGTATTACATAATGGCGCTGGCCAAAATCTTCAGCTTGTGACGGCTCTATGATGCCTGCTCAAGGGACTCCAGATAGTGTGCGGTCCGTGACCTTTGCTGTCACAACGTCTGTAGGATCACTCACCGGCTCATTGGACAAGTATGCTAATGGAGCCACAATTCTTCATGGCGAGCTTTATGGCATGATTGTGTCCGCCTTACTAGCGCGTTCAGGAAACATTGAGGATAGTACAATTCACTCTGATCATCTTAACGCCATCCGCGTAATTAATTCCAGTCTTCTCGCGCCCCTCCTACCTCACGCATGGTCTGCCCTTCCTGCACGGTCGTTATATCGGTGGCTACACTCCATCATATCATCGTCTCCCAAACCTCCAGCTCTCATTCATGTCAAAGCACACACCGACTCATCATCCTTGCCAGCACGAGCAAACACATTAGTAGATGCTATTGCCCATGACTCTCACTCTCAGGTCATTCGACCCTATCCCGTGCCGTATGCTACATTTGAACTGGACAGTTTTGTTCTATACTCCCCTTCTTTGAAGTTTATTGAATGTCCTTTGCCGTTATTGCTTACTCACATACTCTCCAGTCACACTGCAGCTGATCCGACCTTTGTACCTGGTCGTACCCTCACACTGCCTCTTTACGACTTGCATGCGCCACCAGACCATCCTTACGTGCGGACGCCATACGCATACTCCGCGCTGGTACAGCTCTATGCGAGATCACGCCAATTGGACTCTGCTAGTGTACGATTTGCCCGTATGGGAAACGTATCACCGTGGTGCCAATTTGGGTGTGAGTGTCTGGAAACGCCGCATCATCTATTTGCCAAGTGTCGTCGTTTCGCGGAAACGCGCATCAAGTCGTCGCAGGAAGTGGTAGATACAACTTCCATGCTTCTTTGTGAAGCAAAAACCACTATTCGAACAACGGATGTTTATCTACACTCCGCACGGCGCTTGTTCGTTGACGACGCTTCGGTGTGGCCTTTGCGCGAGACTCGCTATTACTTAGGAACTGTGCCTGCGATTGAACCACCAGATCAAATAACCTCTGTGTTGGCGACAAAAATAGCGCACGTATGGCATGTGGCCAGCATTCGTTTGGCAGGGCAAATATGGGAGCGTACTACAAATCCAACGGTCGGCAAGGCTGAACGTGTGTTTGATTTGCCTAGACATTTGCGGCATTTGCAGTCACATTCATATTGACTATTTATTTCGAAGAGCTGACGAGGCACTTCTATATGTAGTACCTGAGTTACATCAGTAGCGTAGTCAGCCAATTAAAGATCGTTCATCGTTCACGTGTGTCTGACAAAAAAGGAGGGCATCTAGGAATTCGAATTTCCGGGTCCGTCCGGCCGAGTCCGGCTGGATCTGTCCGGCTCACAAATCACTATAATTTGTATGCAAAAGAGCAACAAAAAAGTATGACACTAATATATACATTACACGAACATCCGCAGTGCACAGATTTGGCCCGAACCATTCCAGAGATACCTTCGTGAGTCATGAGTACAAATATGTAATGGTTTAGAATCTGTAAGAGCTAGTTTGGTAACCCAAGGTAAAGTAAATTTGCCAACTTCAAGGATGATGTAAGGCCGGCACAGTAGGTGCCGATAGCTGAGTTTCAACCTTATGATATCAATATCAGTAGGACTTGTTATCCATCGCGCTCATTGCTTTAGGGATAGATATCGATAGATTATGGATACCATTGACCCCTTGCTCCAACAACTCGCTCAAGCCCAGGCTGTTCAGCCGCCAGCTGCAGGCCGTCGGCAAAATCATATGCGAATCCTACGTCACATTGCACTACTTGTCAGTGTCCTTCTGACTGCTATGCACTCATTGCTTCAGGACTCTGTACCTGAGGCATACCACACATCAGCCCTCTCAGGTGAAGAATGGGTCATGGAACTCATCGTTGGTCACCCGGATCATATGCGATGCGAACTTGGCATGCATGCAGATGTCTTTCACGCGCTCATAGCCGAACTTCGTGTTTTGGGTTATGCTAGCTCACGCCACGTTTCGCTCGAAGAGCAACTTGCCATCTTTTTATATACGTGTGTTACAGGGCTAACAATCCGTCATGTCGGGGAGCATTTTCAATGGTCAAACAACACCATCTCAAAGTAAGTTTGTTTTTAATGTTATTTATGATGAGCTCACAAATAATTCCAGGTATTTCCGGAAGATCTTGTTTATCTTTGCGTCCCCCCATTCTACACAACCTACGTACATTCTCCCAATGACACCGATGACGTCTCCAGCAACATCCATAACAACCCGAAATTCTGGCCTTACTTCAAGGACGCTATCGGTGCGATTGACGGCAGCCACATCCATGCTCGCCCCTCATCATCTGACCGCCCCTCGTATCGTAATCGCAAAGGTTTTGTTTCTCAAAACTGTCTATTCGCCTGCACCTTCAACCTCAAGTTCTCATACGCTCTCACTGGCTGGGAGGGATCCACCACAAACGCATGCCTCTATGACGAGGCTCGTTCAGGCAGTTTGTATGTCCCTCCCGGCAAATATTTCTTAGCAGATGCGGGATTCCCTTTGTGTGATGAGCTCTTAGTCCCCTACCGCAGTGTCTGTTATCATTTGGCTGAATGGGGACGCGCTAATCTTAGGTATGTTTTATTTATTTTATGTTTTTTAATAACTATTCTATGTTTGCAGACCAACAACCAAAGAAGAGCTCTTCAATCTGCGACACTCATCTGCTCGAAATGTGATTGAGCGGATCTTTGGCGTGTTAAAACACCGTTTTCATATTCTTTTGCTCTCACCTGAATATCCTATGACCATCCAGGCACGTATACCTGCCGCGCTATGCGCGATTCACAATTTCATATTGACTCACAACCCTGACGACAACGTGCTCCCGGACGACGACGATGAACACTTTGATTACAACAACCCGGAGCACCAAGGGATCCCCGATGACGAGGAGGTGTTTGACGGAGCGGGAGGCATGAAGGAAGTGCGCAATCGTATTGCGCGCTGCATGTGGGAAGATTATCAGACCGTTTTGCAGCAGCAGGGCCTGCTAGATGACTCCTTTGAAGATTCTGACAATGATATGTAGCACTGTAGCATGACTCTCATGTATCCGCTGCCATCAAAGCACAAGATGTTTGCATTACCATGCTTCAACTACTGCATTATCATCATATGTTGTGTCAATAGCGCATTTTACATGAGTATACTAACTACCAGGCGCAGGAAGTTGAAGTCCCAACCACTGGGCTGTGGAAAGAATAAAAGCACAGCACATCTCCTTGTCAGCGGTCTGTGTGTATATGTCAGTAGCTGCAGGGTCCATGGAAAAAACCTGTTGTATTATAAGCTGCTCTGCGAACGGCAACTCTGCATCCTCAACCTGCAACATCTGCATGGCCTCGAGCACTGGTCCATTACCCGATCCTCGGGATAGACCATGTGCTCAGCAATTACATCTGTCAAGCGATTGACAGAGCTCTGGAATCCCATCACGGCTACAGCTGTGGTGGCCTTCGATATCTTGGTGTCCAACGTGTTAGCGTTCTTTGTGGAACCGCCCTGAGTCTGTGCATGGCCTCCTGATCCACGGCCTGATGCGTGGCCTGATGCGCGGCCTGATACTGTCTTCGCTCTTTTGATAGAGCTCAACTCGGAGGGAGGCGGCATTTGCATTTGAGAAACTGAGGTAGATGCAGATGAGGCGGTCAGCTCCATGTCAGTGTGAGAACGTTTGCCAGGAGGAGGCATGAAGGACGGAGAAGCAGGAGGAGGCATGAAGGATGGAGAAGCAGGTGTAGAAGTGAGGGCAGCTGCTGCAGGGGCGGTGCTAGGACCAGCAACACCAGCACTAGATGTGGCAATAATGGGACCAATCATGGTATTGTGTTCACCTGCGGGTACGCTAGGACTGGAGCTTGAGCTTAAGGGAGGGGGGAGAGCTATATTGGGTTGGTACCCTGTGCGCCCTTGGGCGCCACTGCCTTGTGGTATTATGCCGTCCATTTACTCGTAGTGTCTCCATCCCGATGCACGAAAAGGGCGCATGACTGAATTTCCCTATTATCAAACAGTGAGACGCATGAAATAGCATTAGCGAACTTGACGTACCTTCTTGGAAACATATTCATTCCATACTGAGGTTGAAGCCTCGCCCTCGACATTTGCCCCTCTAATATTGTCCCAGTGGACACCAGACTGCTGGCGATACTTCTGAATAGCGTTGAAAGTCTGCTTTAACTACACGATCTCTTATCAAGTCTATAAATAAATGATATATTGATATGACTTACTGACACCCATTTTGTCTTACACATTGCCCCACTCTTCGCTGGACCATGCTCCAGGTACTCAGCAATAGCCTCTGCAGTGCCATTGTATGTCACATCTTTGAAGTTGCCAGCATCACCGATCTTGTCCCGATTGTTGGATAGGTAGAGGAGAAACTGATCAACCTCTGTGTCAGTCCAAACAGCCCTCTCTGTAGTAGTATGAGATGACTCCTGAGCCATGGAGAGGATGTGGACTTGAGCTGATAACACTATCGATATGACACTAGCCCAGATGTTGTTCCGATTTGTTAAGACCATGCACAAAGGGTAGGACTGATTCCGAGGGGCTTGGCTTCAGCTCGTGCGCTGCGCCCCTTACCCGAGTATGTGCCCTTAATTTCAGAATGATGTCCGAAGGATGTCCGAAGCGCGGGAAAGTTCGGAAGGACTTTCCGGACGAGTGCGGGAAAGTTCCGGAGGAACTTCTGGAAATTACAATGAGGTTTCGTCCTGATACAGATACGTGTAATGGCTACTTAGGACAAGTCCTAACTAGAAGCAAACAGAGGAAAGGCTGCAAGGACAAAGTCCGAAGCAGAATAGGTCCGGAGGACCGCGGGAAAGTTTCGGACGAACGTCCGGAAACTTCGGAGGATCGGATGAGCGGATAAGCGGAGCTCTGGCCTAGGGAATTTCTCCCTAGGCCTGAGATGGATATTGACTAAGTCGATAGACTAGAACTGATATGAGGACTTAGAGTGAGATCTAGTGCGAGGACTAATATGATATTCAGACTGAGGAACTACAGGACATATACAAGAGTTTATATACTAAGGAAATAACGGAAAGATCAGTAAGCAAGCGTCCGAGGCTATGTATGAAGCATAAGCAAAGTTATCAAGCGCGAGTCGGAAATGAAGCATAGGTTAACGCATCAGTAAGCATACCAGTAGTAAGTATAACCGAGATACCGAGGACAAGGAATACCGAATAGAGGAATAGGCTGTGTTAACGTTATATGCACAGGAAATGAATTAGGAAGCTTATCGTATATCGGATCGGATCGGATCGGACCAGACCGGATGTCCGGACAAGAAGCGTGGATATACGGGATATGATATTAGGGCAATAGGACAAAGGATGAATGATGCAGGCTAGCTGCGGAGGTATGGAGGTCCGATGTACGGAGGTAAAGGGATCTGGACATGGATGCGCGGATGTGGATGTGCAGAGGTGCAGGGATCTGGATGGGTAGAGGACTGGAGACATGGATAGGGCGTCCGAAGGTCCGGATGAGGCGTGGGAACATTATTGGATGTAGGTCCGGAATACGGGATATGACACAATTGCATAGATCTTGAGTCGTATGCTGGGGTGTATGATAGCTAGACATGGGATCAAAGGAAGTTCAAGCTCCGATGTCGGTCTCCAAACCGGAAGCTACTGTGCCGACCTTACATCATCCTTGAAGTTGGCAAATTTACTTTACCTTGGGTTACCGAACTAGCTCTAACAAATCTGCAAGGTTCACAGTTGAGTCCATTGCAATTGGCAGGCAAGCACAGAAATGTAGCACCTTTGATGGAGGATGAGAAAGCCGGTTATTGGTAGTAGGTGAGCACAAAAGTGTAGCAGAAGAAAGTCGGCCAGCCCAGTGCACGAGGAGGACAGGTAAATGCCCAAACCATATCTACAACTGCACAA